ATAAGTAAAGTCTGCTACTTTCCATTCAGATAGTCAGTCTCTCTCACATGCAGCAACTGGAGAGATGCTTTGTCGACAACCTCTGTTACTCTAAGTACTAGGAGAAATAAATAATCAGCTTCAAGTGACAGAGCACGGGCAGACAAGTGCTATCATTAAGTGAAAAAACAGTAGCATAGGTAAGCCCAAACTGCCAAAAATCTCAAAAATACTTCGGCAGAGTTACTTTTCACAATTACAGTGCCCTAAGTAACTTAACTTGCCTTGGTCAAATGAAACAAAAAGTCTTCCTTTGCTTTTTTTTTATTTCAAATACACTGAAACCTGCTGACACAGTAACATTCTCAAGCAGAATGAATTCACCTGAGAAAAATATCCGAATAAGCACCAAAGTACAGGTGGCTAAAGACAGCTGAATTATTCAAGCTTAAATTATCTAAATTTTGGTCTCGTTATCAGAACAAAGAAAGTGGCTGTGTTGATGAGCATTAATTATGCATACCTCTACCTGGGAGACTGGCTTGATGGAAGCCTCGCTGCAAAACTGATTCAATCCTGCTAACAAAACAAGAACCGAGACATGGGTGCCCCGATACAGACCACTCATCTCCCCAGCACATCCTATCTAACGCCAAGAGAACTTTTTTAACGGGTAACGGAGGAGGGAATCCCAACGTTTAAGTGACGAGGAAGGCCACATGCAGACTCCTGGTGGACCACCTGCAGTCACCACCGTACCTTGTGTGCCAGTGGAGACACGGGGTGCCGGCAGCCCCCGGGCTGCGGGGAGGGCCCGTCCCTGCCGCGGCCGCTCCGTGCCCTCCGCGCTCGCTCCGGCTGAAGGCGCAGCCCTTCGACGGCCATTTCGCCCCCACCGCCCCGGCTCACGCAGCCCTCTCCAAACCTAACTCACAGCTCCGCAGTTCCAAATCCGACGCGGAATACGCCTCTTTCGTGAGGCAGACAAGGCAGCACCCCCAGCTAAGCAGTACAAGCGGTATTCGCTCCCATCCCTCAGCGCAGGGTAAGGGGCGAGAAGGCGCGGGCCGCAGTCAAACCGGGCCCGGCGCCAGCGCGGCCGGCGGGCTCACCTTGAAATAGATCTCGTCCACCACTTCGTGGTAGGTCTTGAGCTCGTAGAGCTGCACCTTGAAGTAGGGCGATGAGAGGATGTTGGTGAGGATCATGGGGTTCAGGTTCATGGTCTTCTCGTTGCCCCACAGCGGCAGCACGTTGCCCGGCTTGCCCGAGGCCGCCGGCTTGGGGCCCCCGCCCTGCAGCGGCTGCTGCGCGGGCGGGACGGCGCCGGGCGGGTGCTGGGCCGCCTGCTGCCCCTGGCAGTTGGCGACCGCGGGGCTGTTGTTGGCCATGGCGGGGCGGGCTGGGGAGGGCGGGCCGCGCACACGGAGCGGGGCCGGCGGGCGCTGCCTCAGCCCCGACAAGATGGCGGCCGGGGAAGTGACGGCGGCGCCTTCCGGGGCCGCGTCACCGGCCCGCGGGGAAGGGGCGGGGGCGCTCCGGGGCCTCGGCGCGTCCCGCGGCTCCTCCCGCCGTTCTTCCCGCCGTTCTTCCCGCCTGCGGATCCTCCCGCCCGCGGATCCTCTCGCCCGCGCCGCGCCTCGTCTCGGCCGCCGCCTCATGGCCGGGATACCCCCGCCGGGGGAAGGGAGGGGACCCGTGGCCCGCCGGGGACGGCTGCTGGCACCGGCACACGGGGTTTAATAGATCGAGCCAGCGACTTAGCAAGGTTGGAAACTGGTCACTTGTCGTTGGTAATGAGGCCAGGGCGCAGCAGGAGCAGGGGAGGGAGCGCCGGCCGCTTCTGCCCCCACGGAAGCGGAGAAGCAAAGAAATCATAGAAAGGGTTTGGGTTTGGGTTGGACAGGACTTGGAGGATCATCTCGTTCCAGCCTCCCTGCCCTGGGCAGGGACACCTTCCTCTAGACCAAGTTGCTCAGAGCCCCATCCAATCTGGCTTTGAACACCTCCGGGGATGGGTCATCCACAGCTTCCCTACTGGGGAAGGGAAGAAATAGTGTCGGGGATGTTGGGTGTGCAGGAGCCCCGGTGTGCGATGGTGGCCAGTGCTGCTGACAAGGCCACTTCTCCAGCTGAGAATCGTGTCAGACACAAAGAAAACAGTAGCGTCACCCTGCTGCTCAGTTCCAGGACAACACATCTTTCTGAAATCAGTAATACTACATACAGCCTCGGAACAAGAAAAATTAGATTAATGCAGTTTGAAAGCATCTGGATTTAAGAAAATAACTGTCTACATGTAAATACTGACAGGAAACAGAAAAGAAAGTCCTCCAGTTTTGCCTGCAAAAGCAGAAAAAACCCCCCCCAACACAACTAGTTATGTACTTTGGTGTCAAGCTTTAAACCTGAAGTACAGAAGGGAGGAGACAATGCACAATTTAGAAGAATTGCTAAAATATTCTATACAAATGACTATGCACAAACATAACTGAAAGTCCACTGAAATGACTGCAAACTGGGCATAATGTGGTAAAATACGTTCAGTTGTACACACACAGAAGGGTTCTCCATTGCTCAGCACATCAGGAAACAGGTACAGGGAGAAGCTGGTATGAAAGGATCCATGGAAATAGCATCTCTACGTATGTGCTATTTAAAACTAATTTAGGCTTTTAATTTAGAAACCAGGAGATAAATACTACTGGAAGTAACATTAAAATACCTTCAGTCTTCATTGCACATTGAAACCCTGAGAAACAGTAGTTTATCTTCATTACCCTGGCCCTTCAATGTACCTTAGAGCTTGTAGTATAGCAGAAAAATGTTCTTATCAGGGCCCTGGCAGTAAACAGTTTCTCTAAGCTGCCTGTTCTGCTATCTAGGCTCTTCACTCCCTTTTTCTAGGAATAACGACCCGTCTTCTTTTGGCCTTCTCTTCCCATCTCAGCTGATTTCCAAACATGTTCACAAAATCTTCATTACTTACTTACAGGGCTCTACCATGTTGATGCAGTAAATATCCATATAACAATCCCATATGAAATCAAAGAACTAATCACAAAACTTAATTTTAAGAAAGTGTATTAACAGAAGTGATCTTGTTCTGGAGGCAGTTAGCTAGAGTGGTAACTTTCTTTGAATCTGAGTGGTTTTATCGTTGCTGTTTAGGGTATCCTTGACTCTGAGCACTTCCTTAATTTAAATTGTATAATCACTTCAAGACAGCCTGTGTTTCTTTTATAATTTATATTACCCAATTTGTGTTTTCATACATTTAGCTTTTCCTGTTGAAATATTTAGTCAATATGTTCCAAGCCTCAGTACTTTTTACTCTGTATAAGATAACATTTTTGTACTTCTTATACGTTCCCTCTTTGGTGGTGATGCTGAAACCTCTGATATAGTTGCATCCTATGAATCCATTTGCTCCAAATTAGATTTTCTTCCCTCAGGCATCCCACCTGGTCTTTATACTGAATACAGCCAAAATGAAAAAAACAAAAAACAAACCCCCAAAAACCCCAAAAAGAAGTGATTTGCAAACTTGCAAACTGCAAGATGCTATACACAATTATAAAAGAGTTAGAGGATGGTGATTTGTGGGCAAGAGTCTAGCCTCACTTCTCATTCACACAAATTCTGAATTTTTTCAAATGGGCCGAGTCTGTAGAAGCTGAGGAGAAAAATACTAGTACTTAAGTCACTAAACATCCTCTGAATTTGGGTTGTGAGGAGTGGTTGTTAGCTCTTGAATTATAGATTAAACAGCATTGCTGTACGTATATTCCTGTGAGCGGACTAGTGTCTCCTGGCAGCAGTGCTGCATTAGATTTCATTTGCTATCACATTTAATTATATGCACTGCAACTTGAAAGGAAAAGTACTGGAATTGCACACAGTTGTCTTTTTCATCCCAGTTACTGAAGGAAATAAGTGTCAGCAGTTTAAAATTTCCTGATTCGTGACTTTATATTCTGAGATGCTTTTATTCCAGTGTAGTCATATCATTTGTTGCTCTCTGTAAGGTACAAAATTAACAGGCCTCTCTAAAAATAACCTGCTTAATTTGTGGGCATGCTGAACTAAATGCAATTTGAATATTCAGTTTGAAACAGTTTCTGTGCATGGCCAAATTGGGATATACAGGTCTGTAAATCTTAATGGAGAGAAATCCCACAAGAAAACTGACCAGATGTTAAATATACAGTAAATTTTTTCTATAACTAAAGGTCGTTAATATTACAAATATATATTGTGTACAAATAATATTGCCCGTTAGCAATCCAAACTGATAGAAATAGCAACTCCCAGGCTGCCATACTTGCATATACTTTTTGGTGATTCACTGGTTTTAGTGATCTCTGCCTCACTCACCCAGGCAAGGCTCGTTCCCTGCATGTAAGAGCGTTTGCGGGGCGTAGCAAACACGTCTGCAAACACCGCAGCACCTCAAGGGAGTGGCACGAGGAGTGGTGGGATTTTGGGGGGTTTAAGCGTAAAAGTCAGGGACACCCCCCGCCGCCACCAACCACGTTTTAATTACACAGAGGGAGGCTGGCTCGGGTGGAGATCGGTACAGCAGGTACCCTTGGACGCTCGTGGATTGGGATTTATCGTCTTGCATCGAAGAGCATTAGGGAACACCCCCTGCACTAAGGGGTGGAAATAAAGAATTCCCGGCTGGCGCTGTCGGAGTTCCCCGGAGCATGGGCGGCCGACTGTGCCAGGCGGGAGGTCAGCGCTGGGAGAGAAGGCGGGGGGGAAAGGGCAGGAGGTGGCTGTCGGGGCCCGGCAGGGAGGGATGGGAGCTGGGGGCGGCCCGGAGCGGAGCCGGAGGAGGACTTGGGGGGCCAGGAGCCAGGGGTAGGGATGTGTGTGTATGTGGGGAGTGTGGGTGAGAACTGGGATCAGGCCTACCCTTGCTTAATTGTAACTCGAACACCGCTGAAAACAGCAAACTCTGTAGTTTGATATGTTACCAAGTGCTTCAGAAAATAAGGACTAACTTTTTATTTTAGCATTGCCAAAATATTATGGAGAAGAACTTTCAAGAAGAAGAGTTTGCGCAAGTTATTAAATTTACACCTCCTCTGTACAAACAACGCTACCAGTTCGTCAAAGATTTAGTGGAGAAATACAAACCTAAGAAGGTTGGTATGTTTTGTTGTCTCTCTAGGTTATACATTTGAAAAGAAGTTGACACTTGGTATCTCAGGAAGACAAAATGCATAGATAACCTTTTGACCCAATTACCAAACAACAATTTTGGAGAAGCTGCTGTTAAAACTGAATTGGTGATAATGTGTTGTTTTTCAGGGATGCATATAATTAATGTTACTTGATGGGAAGAGGAGACTATTTAAATGAGAGAAATGCCTTAGCCTGTTTTGGAGAGTAGTGGGCATTCTGGTTTTAATTTAAAGCTGAGTAATTCGGTTCAAGCTACTTTCATCATAGTTGGGTTTTGCTTTCTGGAGTTGTTTGTTCCATATGCAGTATCAGGTTTGCCTCATCATTCATATGACTGTTCTCAGTTGAGAAGTGACACTGAGAGTGTGGGATTATGTGAGGCTCACTCATCTCCACTTGCTTAAGGTCTTGTGACCCTTTCCTGTGTTGTCCCTCTCAATATACCAGAACTCGTTTCAATACTATTTGGAAAAGTTAAATTAATTAAATTATGTACTGTAGTGTTTGCTCTTTTCTAACATGTCCTCTCCCTTTCCTCCCCCAGAAGCAGTTCCCAAATCTGCAGTGTTTAACTCTGAAACTGCTGCTGATCTCTTAGGGGGCATGCAAGAAAATGATGAGAAATGCACCTGCAGTGCACTTAAATAATCATAATTCTGGTAGCTAATAAAAATCTAATCCAGTCTATGAGGTCATGGCACTGCAATCTGCTTTTAAATAGAACGTATTCACCAGTGTTGCATCTGTATTTAAAGATTTGAATTTTCTGATTTAGGATGCGGAAAGGGTGAGAGGGTAAACTTTCTGTTTACTCATGGGGTAGAGATAAGCTGGATAGAAACAATTCAGGATTTTCACAGGGAGAACAGCAATGAGCTTCAACCTCGACTGAGTCTGAGAAAGAATAGGGTGGGTTGGTTTGTGTACCCAGCTATCTCTTAAGCTTACAGAAAAGAATATCTATTATGTGATTTTGTGGTCTGAATATCACCAGAGTTCCCCACTTAAACATTAGACTGAGCCTGTAAACTTGTTTTATGCAGATTCTTTGCTCCTAACTTGGCTACTGGTGAGCCTGTTTTCAGAGCAGTCCAGTGAAAAGCAGTGGTGAAAATTTCTACAGCTTTGATATTTACAATCATACCTTACTGTTATTCATGTGGAAGACATCTTCCAGTGTCAGTGTGATGTTCTACATGTACTTTTTTATAAGTGTAATAACAAAAGGTTAATTCTTTTAAAAAATCTTGCAGGATGTTCATATACATTTTTTTAAAAAGAATTTTCAAATCCTTGTCTATCCTGCTTGCTTACAGCTGTAAAATTTAGTTTTGGTTGTGAAATGCTTTATCATTAAAAAGTTATTTTGGTGTAAATATGGACTTTTAGTTTTATTAAAGTCTCTGAAATTACTTGGAAATATATAGCATTTACACATTGTTTAATATATAATTTACAGGTGGCAGATTTAGGATGTGCTGATTGCAGGCTTCTCTGGATGCTGAAATTCTGCAGTTGCATTGAAGTGTTAGCTGGGCTAGATATCTCTGCAAGTGTAATGGAAGAGAAAATGTAAGCTCTTTGATTGTGGTTTAAGGTTTGTATTTGTCTTGATGTAGTGGTGTGGTGGGTTGACCGTGGCTTGAGGCCAGGTACTCACCAAAAGCTGCTCTATCACTCCTCTCCTCAACTGGACAGGGGAGAGAAAATACAATGAAAGGCTCATGAGTTAAAGGGCAGGGGCAGATCACTCACCAGTTACCATCATGGGCAAACCAGACTTGACTTAGAAATTAGTTGAATTTATTATCAAATTCAGAGTAGGATAATGAGAAGTATAGAAAACCTTAAAAACATCTTTCCCCCCACCTCTCGCTCCTTACTGACTTTAACTTTATTCCCTCCCCACCAGCAGCACAAAGAGGCAGGGAATGGGGATTACAGTCAGTTCCTCACATGTTATTTCTGCTGCTGCTTCATCTTCAGGGAGAGGAGTCCTTCCCCTGCTCCAGCATGGGCTTTCCCTCAGAAAAGCCACCCCTGGAGCTTTTCTGATTAGCAAAACCTTGCCACAGAAACCAAATACAAGTGGCATGTTGCATTATTGCTTGTAGAGGTTTTAGAGTTGGGGTAACTGCAGAAGTACCAGCTGGCAATTGAAGAGCTCTCTGTCGTCCTTGGTTACATTGAGTCTGTCCCTGGGACCCCTGGGCTGTAGGTGCCCGTAATGTCACCTAGTGTAGCCAGAGGTCTGGGTCATGGAAAGGCCCTGAAGGTGTGCAAATCTGAGACATACACTGTTTGTAAAGGCACTAATGCAATGTATTTGTCTTCAGTTTATGCTTATTATTGTCTTCAGAAAGATCCGTTCGGATCTTTTTTGAAATGTGCACGTAACTCTTTTAGTCACTGTGGTGGGGACTTGGTTCTTGGTTTTTTTTTTGAAATGGAAAGCTTAGCTCAATGTGTGGTGTCTGGTTTAGAAGCCTCTAAAATGAGAGGTTTATGTGATCTTTGAAGTATTGGTCAGACTGGTGAACATAAATTTCTTTCTTGGAAGCTCACTAATACAATTTCAGTGAATAGGTAGGATCTAGATGCTGATGTTATCATTTGCTCTTTCTCAAGAATGAAGAGAATAACCTTTTATATTTAACATTTATTGTGTATTTTCTCTAATGGTATTTCAGAATGAAATTTGCACATACACTTTGGTTTCTCAGTGTATTTCATTTGGAAAAAATAGGTAATATGCGTGCCTAAAACTTCCCCCAAAAACCTGCAAAGTGTGTCTAAATCAGACTTACTGTGTGTCTAGAGTTGAACTATTATCAGAACTTACCAGTGCCTTTCCAAGTGACTTGAAAATGTAGTGGAAATTTTTGTAAACATCAAGGACAGCTGCTGGATTAACTTTTGCTCTTAGTCATGAAAAGTGTTTGTATTGGATATTCTTTTTTATATCCATGTAATTAGTTAACCTTTTTGAGATTCATGAGGTATCTATGTAGGGTGTTTACTAATTCATTTACATGTAAAATTTTTCTTAAGGTCCTTTCTGTAACATCTTATTTTTAATACCTTTGTAGGCATACATTGTCTCCTCTTCCTTTTGATTATTTGCAACCATCTGAAAGATCCCTAACTGTTACCTTGCATCATGGTTCAGTGGCCCATAAAGATCCTTGCATGCTTGGTTTTGACTTGGTGACATGTATTGAACTGTGAGTATTAGGCCAATGCTCTACATTTTTCTAAGTTCATTAGAGTTCAGCTTGGAATTTTGTCCATACTCCAAACAGACTTGATCAAACCTTTCAAGCAGAAGCGTAGAAGTAGAAAAGTAGCAAATAGAAGAGCGGCATCCTCTAACTTGTTCTTAAAGTAGCCATACTAAGCTATTAAGTGGTGATTGCATATGGTGGGAGGAGGATACTGATGAAAAATTGCAAAATGCAGGAGGAGATTTGGTCGGACAAAACCCCTGTGTGGCCACTTGGCCACAGTGCCATTGCTGATATTGCAGAGCTAGGTGTAAAATTACAAATTACAGATACGGGTTTGGGGGTTTTTTTGGCTGGTTGTTAAGATTAAAGTATCACAGGGTTTTTTTAAACACAGACATCAACTTACTCTTTTCAGAATAGAACACCTGGAAGAATCGGAGCTGAAGAAATTTCCTGAAGTGGTGTTTGGTTTCATGGCTCCAAGCATGGTTGTGATCAGTACTCCAAATTCTGAATTTAACCCTTTGCTTCCAGGAGTGGTGTTATATAGGCATCCAGATCACAAATTTGAGTGGAACCAAGCGCAATTTCAAAGCTGGTAAGCTCACTGGACATGTATGCTGACGGCTCTGGGTGCCAGGAGCGTGAGAAACAAATGGCATTTTCAGCATGGTTCACATATGTAGTTTGCTGTCAGTGAAGTATCACCTCCTGACTTGGTGAAATGTTTCTTTGCTGGTAAGAGTAGTTAAGCATGTTCTGTGGTTTTGTGTTTTATGATGGTGGTTAAGTTGGCTAGCTTTTACTGTAGCTGCTCTGCAGAAAACATTTAAAACTTTTACCTACCTTTTTGTATATCTTTATTACAATTAACGCATTTGAAGTGTAAGGTATTAATTAACCTTTTTGTGTATAGAAATGCTTTATAAAACCCTAAGAAATGTGCTCACTATGTACATGCAAAGTGCTCGGTTAGTCCAGACCTTTCTGTAAGAGTATGCAAGCAGAGTTATGAAATAACCATAGCAGCAGGGCATGTTGGATAAAATTGAGGATAGTTTGGTGGATCGTGGCACAATGAAATGCAAAACATATGTACGTGACAGAGGGTTACATGGAATCTGTCTTACTCTTAGTATCAGTAGGTGTAATAAAAATAAAAGCAAGAGGAATATGTGTTCTGTGATAACATTCAACTGTCAAGCAGTTGTGGAAGAAACTGTATCCTGGAAGCTTTGCCCCTTAAATTATGTTGTTTCTGCCATAGACTTTAAAGTATCCAGTGACTTTTGAGTATGTAGTTTTGCAAAGCTTGAAGGATATATTTTCCCTACATAAGGATACTAAAACCTGCATTATTAGTAGGGACCATTTTTATGACTTTAAGTAAATTTAGATTCTGCTTTTAGATATATGTGAATTAAAAATATTGATATCATTAAACGAGTGATTTTTTTTTAAGCTGTAAACACCAAGTCTTTGTGTTGTGAAGTATAAGTATTGCAATATTTTCTAAAATACATGGGATGTTAATTTAGTTTACTACTTTCTCATGGAGAATGATGCAGGTAGATAGTGCCGTTTTAGTTCCCTGCCCCATCCTTTTGTTCACACTGGCTGATGTACTACAAGGTGGTTTTCATTTAGATGTCACGTACCCTGTTGTAACCTTTATTAGGTAGACTTTACTCTTTATACATATACAACAAACCACCCTTTTATTTTCCCTATTAACTGGTCTCCTGGTATTTTGAGTTGTGTATATTTTTTATGAGTTCTTCTCAAATAATTTTGTTCTTGAAAATCGGTAGGTTGTAGCTCACTTCTAATATATTTAAGTTGGTGACTAAGCAACTGTGAGCATTAACTTTCTGTGCACACAGTTTAGAAATAATGGTAATGTTTGGATGCCTAAATTACTGATACTAAGTGATTCAGACTGTGGTAGGCATATGATTACAGCTCTGATGCAGCAAGTTTTGACAGCACTTATCTTCAGGCATGTGAGTATTGTTAGGGAAATTGGGCTCAAGCATTCACAGGCTCAAGGTCTTGCTTCTCCTGGAGAATGCATCTTTATCACATGAAAAGATGAATATTTCATATGATGGGAATAATTTGTCTTCCTTAGGGCTCTGGAGGCTGCTAAATGCTATGATTACTCCGTGGAATTTACTGGTGTAGGGCACCCACCAAAAGGAATGGAGAATGTTGGGTTTTGTACCCAAATAGGTGTGTTTGTTAGAAAATATCCTCAAACTGGTGGATCTGTTCAGTATGAGAAACCCACTGAAGCAGTTTACAAAACTGTAAGTATTATTTTCTTCCTTTGGAGGTATGAATAAATAGTAAAATTGTCTATGACTGCCCGGTAAAGTGTTGTTACCATGGACTACTGTTGCTATCCAGTCTTAGCTCTGATTGTCACACACCATCAGATCAAGAGAGTCTCATTCTATGATTTGTGTTTCTAATTGTATAAAGGCCTTTAACTTTTAGAATATTTGCTAAACAACAATGTGGATAATCATTCTTAACATACTCTTATCCTTAGAATGAAAAATTTCAATTCTGCCAGGTATACTATTTTTATAGTTTTTCCTCTAGTCATTAATTTCATTTATTATGTGGTTGTTGGCAATTACACATATCTTTCAGATTCATAAAAAATAAAAAGCAAAAAAGGCATTTCTAGCTAAATGCCTTGTGGTATAAATCAAATTTGTTCAGAGATAACATGAAGTAATAATGCAAAAATAAATATACTGTTTGTTTTTTTTCAATTTTATGAGGCCTTGTTTCAGTGAACATACATATTCAGTTCTTTGTGTAAAAATATATATGTATCTTCAAATGACTTGTCACCTGAACTGAAACAAAAATATATCTTCTGTAGTTTCCAAGCCATAAAAACATTTGTAATTTCTGTATTTCAAATTTCTATACATGTGAAATGTCACCTGTCATCTACTGCCATTAATAAAATCTTGGAAGTGCTCTATAATGCTCAACAAACTTGGAAATATGTACAGGTGATGGACTTGTACTAGAAATTGCTTTCGTTATCTCCTGTTACAGGGTCACTAAGGAGGGAGTTTTGACATTGATATTTCTTTGAGTTTAAACAAGAGTGTTAATCTCCTGCGTTTCTTATCAAACTAATTTTTATTATGTAACTAATTTACGGGAATAAATCAATATTTCAGGATGCAATTGAAAAGTAGGAAATAATTATAGACAGTGGAACTTCTTTGGTACCCTGCTGGTATAAAGCACTTCCTGAAGCTGGTGGGAATTAGTTTGTCTGCGTAGTTTCCTTAATTGCCTCAGAGTATAGCTCAGTGTAGAACACACAAGTTCACATATTTTGATGTCACAATTTATTTTTAGCTTCCCCTGCAGCTGTGAAAGCATATTTAATGTTTTATTCTGAAAACAGAATAAATGACATGCTCCAGTCCTGTTTTCCAGATGACTGTTCAGAAGTAGTTTAGAACTCTCACCAGCACCTCATCATGAGTAATGTGAAAAGTAAGAGAATTATTAAAAAGAACTAAGAAATTACAGGACTTCACCTTGCACCTTGCCTAGTTTTTGGTATCTGAAAATGTTTAATAAGCAAAACAGGATTGAATAAAAAATTATGTTCACATTTTAGAGGGTTTTTTTGACAGCAAATGTTAAACTCTGACCCTGTGATAGTGATAAACATTTTATGTGTTCTTGTATGTTGTAAAGGTCTTCAAAGCAGTGTATCCAAGTCTGAAAGATGAGAAGTACTTGCAGAATGCAGTTGTCAGTGAAGTTATTTTCACAGCCCAAAACATTAAGCACCATTTAATGTCAAAACATGAGGAGTATGATGATGATCCTGAAAGAAAATCTGAATTCCAGCCTTCAGTGGACTGTTTTTCAGACTATCTTGGAAAACTGGTTGTTGATAAAACCATGGAACCATTTGTCAATGGAAATGAGGTCTGTATACCTCTTGCAGCAATCTTTTCTTTTCCCAAAGTGAATCAACTGTGTGGTACCTTTGAGAAGTTATGCAAACTCATTGCTGGCAAGGTCACACTGAGCAGTGATGGTTCTGCTGTGGTTTTCAATACTGAACATGAAACTGAGGAGGATTAGATCACAGATTTCTTATACAAAGTTCAGTTGAAGTAATTAAAGTAGTTTTTTAGTAGCTGTCAAATGGTGTGTGCTGTATGCTAACCAGAACACACAATCTTTTCTAAACCTCCCCTCAGTGGTCAGCACCTCTCCTATGGAGTGAAGACAAAAACAGCAGTAACTCACAAGGGTTTCATGTAGACTGTCAGAGGGTAAAAGGAAATAATTAATTCCCATGAAGAAAATGAGGTATTTCTGTTTGCTTTCTATTACTTTATTGTAGCTATCATTACTAGATTATTTTTAGTAATCTCTTGTTAGCTCCCAGAGTAGTTGATGATAACACAAATTATGTTGTTGTGCTGAATAATGTGACTCAAACATTGGATTAAGGCAAGTTTTTTCTTACTAGAATGAAATTTATAGATGCTTTCTTCAAGATGAGCACATCCTCAGCCTTGATGAAAACCAAATGTTGTTCCAGATGAATACAAATATGAAAGTGGTATTGTTGACTGTTCTGTTTTTTAAAGAAAAAAAAAATTTACGAAGTGCTATATTTGTGAATGCTAATCTGGCCCTGATGTACCTGAAAATTTTCTGTGTTTTCATGTGCAGCTGTAATTCAAAACTGTAAAATCCAAATAGAGTAAATGAAAAAAAATTCAAGAACAATTCATACCCCAGTAATGGTTTTGCCTTGGTATATTAGTTGTGTGTATGCAGCAGTGATATATAAGTGGGGCTTGTCTTCAGTCATGAGATGTTTTCCTTCTAGATTAGAAAAAGATCTTGTGTCTAAATGACACATTTTCCTTATAACATACATGTTGCTAAAACAGTGAAAACACAGTAGTAGAAAAAGCAAAACATTTAAAAATAGAAATCATTAACTGGAAGACTTTTTGCTGAAGAGATTTGTCATTTATTCTATAAGGAACCTGTTGACTCACAAAAGAGGAAAGACAACCACAAAAGAAATTCTATGATATTCTGGTGAAGTTTTGGAAAAAACTGTCTTCCTTTTTGACTGAAGTTAGTTATATGTGGTACAGTTAATTCTCTTAATTCTTACTCTTCAAATAATTGGTTACTGAACTGGTCTGAGTGCCAAATAGTTTGTACTATAATTAGCTGCAATTTTCACCAATCTAGATCTTTTCTTAATTTAAGAACAGATACCCAGTGCGGTACCAGAAAGCTTGGTTATTTTGAATGCATAAATGAGAAGAGAAATACATACCACAGTTAGTTTTTTTAAAAAATAAGAAACTAATTTATAAAGTTATAGAAACCATATGAAAAGTTTTTAGTAGGTCATTATACTCAACTGAGGAGGATTAATTTTGTCATTTGCAATGTGGGCAGGGACTACACCCAGTGCCCTCACTTTCCCCAAATACTGCTAGTTGTGGAGTTTGCTTAATAAATTAACCTCCTAGTATGCCTGCCACATTAAAGCTGATTTTTCCTTTTTGTAAGACTGACATACTACTTTTACTCTCCAGGAGGCAGATAAATAACTGTACTAGTAATGGTGCCATTAAATACTTTGTGGACTGGAGAGGGAGTTGAATAAGCTGCAGGGGTAAAGTTTGAAAAGAGTAGTGAAACTGAAATGGACGCAAACTTCCATTTAAGTTTGTAATTTTTCGCATTTAAAAAAAAGACATAATTGTTTAGGAACAGATTCCAAGCTGAAGACATGAGTTTATTGAATGTCTGAGAGATTTGCATTTAAATACAGTTAAAAAAAACCCATAACCCACCAACACATCCTGAACAGTTTACTATATAGAAGTCTCCAGTATTTGTATAACACAGTTTACAAAAAGGAAAATACAACATGTAAATATGAAGGTTATATTCCACTTAAAATACACACAACTAGAGAATCACTTCATGAAGAGTTGTAACTCAAGTCAGAAGAATAAATTACTAGGATACAATTTTATTAAAAGCTGGATTTCTATGTCAACTTCCCTAAAAGATCTGCTCAGGCAAGAAAATAATTTTTTCTAGTAAACAAACTATCTAATCTATGACAGTTAGCTGTGTCTTTTAACATAAAACACAAATCTGGGCTATGGAAATTCACTTGAGAATTACATAAGTAGCTGTACAATGTTTTTTTAAAGTCTGTTTTCCTCAAACTATATGTAGTTTTCCTAGTAAACTTAAGTGAGTTACCATCTAGCTATTAAAGGTTTTGATAGATTTGTCAACAAGCATAGCAAGAGTACTGAAAGCAAATAATGTATTCAAATATACAAAGCAAATAATGTATTCAAATTTCTTGCATTGTTTGCTTGCAGTAGGATTTTTTTGGTACGAGTTAGTTATGTGACAGGAAAGGAAACTATAACGTTCTGACAGATAGTTTTATACTAGCAGTTGAGTAGTTTCTGTTTAAAATTCCTGTGGAGAACAGAAATGGATAATACCACACTTCTATTAACAGCAGCTAGAATAGAATCTTTGCATTAATTCTTTTAAAGAGATTATAATTAACAATAGGAAATAAAAGTATTTAAGTACCGAAACTGAGAAACAGCTCATATTCTTCATATTCAATAACAGTACTCAAGCTTTAAAATCTGAGATTTCCTTAAAAATACAAATAAAAATTAGTTTAATAATTCTGGTATGGATTTCTAGAAAACAGTCTGCTTTTTCTGATTTAACCTATTAAATATGGCCTACTTCTATTTCAATAAAAAGGTGTCAAACCACTCTGAGCAGAATTTGGAGCATTCTGAGCTTTCAAAAGCGGCCACACTATTTTTAATTATTCCAAGCCTTACTGATAAACAGTACCACTAAATGTAATAAAATTAAAGCCATTTGCAGTTTACAATGTGTCACCTAACATATCCCTTTGAAAATGGATTCTTTCCTATTTGCAATGAAAATTTAAAGAGATCTTCCTTGCCTATTGGGCAAGTCACTACTTGTGCAAATTTAAATACAGTACATTGACTTTAATGCAACAGTGAACAGATAGTGAAGAAAGAAGTGTTCAACAAAGATGTTGCACACTAAAACTTTTTCAGAGTGCAGAGTATGTCTACAATAAAGTGCTTCTCTTAACAAGTTATAATAATAATAGTATAGATGTTTACCTAGTTTTAAAGCTTAAATTCTTAGTAAATTCTTTAATCTCCCTGTATGGTCCCCAATCCCGCAAGGCACATTCAAAACACAAGCAAAGCACTAACTGTGAAGGATTAGGCTACAATAAAAAATGTAAGTGGTAGTAAACTACTGACTAGGTTTGTAAACAGTACCATCCCATTGAATCTTAATGTTCATGCATTGCTGGAGTGAGTTTCTGTGGAAGCAGCTTCTGTCCTCCAGATGTAACAATCAAGCCAGCTTTCTTGCTAAAACTCTACTGTGCCTTAGTGTTTTGATGTGGATTCCCACTTTTTTCATCACTTCAACAAAAAACATGTCACATTTGATGCATTTAAACTTGTGGACTTGATTTACAGTTAACACAATTGATTACTGGCTGGTTTAGATGTATTTAGTTTTGGTGGTTTTTTTTTTAAATGTGTATGAAGTTCACTTCTGCTGTTCAACCTTACAATGAAATTGTGCTCAGTACTCCTATACTTTTAGTTCTGTTAAAACATAGCTGGGCTGTTTTGAGGAGGCCACAGCATTGGCTGGATAATGACTGACTTGATAGAAGTAATAAGACTACAATGACAGGTAGGATCAAATTGAGTAATTACTTTTTTCAGGTGCATTTAAGACCAACTTTCAGAAGCTTCTTTTCTAATGAAGTCATGAACAAAGTACATCACCATAAGTGATCTCTTGTATAAAATACTGAAATGGGACTCGCTTCATCATGCTTCCAAAGATGTTTCACACAGAAAGTAATTCCAATAACATCAGATAGAGCTTACAAAAACAGTCCAAGTGCTCTCACAAGGTATACACAGTTACACATTGCCTTCATACCACAGAAGATGATGCTCTAGGAGCAAGAGGCATTCCATTCCTTTTCAGAAAAATATCACATTGAGTTAATTTTGTGTTTCTCAACTCTTGCAACAGAGCAAACAAAACCAGAAGTATCAACACCAGAGCTCGAAGTTTTCCTTGTTTGTCATTCTAGTTCAACGTTTTATCACCACCTGCTCATATGCTCCAGATCCTACTCTGAAAGTTTGAAAGAAATTAGTTCAATGTCAATTTAAATGGACGCTAAACAGCAAATGTCACAGATCAGCAATGTTATTGTTTAATCAACCCAACCAACACCCAGCCAAAAACCACCCAATAACCCCCCCAACCAAACAGCTAAATGTGAAGGGTGATTATTATCATACCACTGAGTCACCTACAGTTTAATGCATTAAAGTGCTTTTTGTTATACTAAAGCCAAAATAGAGAATGAAAAGTAACGTTACGGAAAAAGAAGTTACTGTTGGACTTCTCTATAATTTCTTAAACATGACCTTTAGGATACCCCTCCCCACAGCTATATCATATGCAGCTAATACTTTTAATACAAATTTATACATAAACAGATAAATTACCTAAAAAAACAGTAAGTGACAGTCATCTTATGTTAGAATACAAGAAAAACATCTTCCAGTCTTTTGTTCGTGCATTGTAAAAAAACCTCTCTCAACCCCTCCATATGACACCATAGTGGATGGTTTTCCATGGCAAATTGCAGTACTGTGTAAAAAATTAATGGGGCAAGCTCTGCCTTAGTTTAGTAGTGTGCCTGGACTGTTGTGGTAACTAAATTAGGACAGATCTCTCTATACTACAGAAGTGTGTTCTGTACTCAAACACGTTATCTGAGATAAACATTGGTGTGTTCAGTTTGCAGATAAGCCAATTAATTATCTTTTAACCATCAGGATTACTTGCATGTATCAAATGCAATTATTTTATTACTTTCAATGTATTACTAGCTGCCTTTATACCTAACTTCAGAAATAACTGCTGAAATACTAATGATGTGCTAATTTCTTGAGATAAAAATGTTGAGTTACATTGGACTGTAGAAACATGGTATTAGAGCATATTCTTCCCTGTTTTTCATGCTTCTCATCTAAGAAGATTAATACATTCAGGTCAATATTAGTCATATATTAGAGCATTTGAAGAGGGTTTAGAGAAGAAAAAAATGTCTCTTGTTCTGAAACAACTACAAGAAGATAATCTGAAGCAGATTATTGAAGGAGCTGGTGTAGGGCTGCAAATAGTTGAAAGAGGAACAAACCATTGAAACAAACCATGTAACAAATGGAAACAGGATTCATGAGAAAAAACAAACTGAAGAAAATTAAGCTTGTTATTAGGAAGACATACAAGTTTGATACTGTAAAGGTAGATGTTAAAACACTTAGAACTTTGCACTCCAGTGGAGTGCAAATCTTGAAACTATAGAGTTAAGATTTGAAACTGGTGTCTGTTTCCTGTGTTGATACTGAAACATTGCTCATATCTGAAAACTTTGGAGCTGAGATTCTTCAGGAGGTCTGGAAGTTACAATTCTTATGGCTGACACATCAGTTCTGTTTTGGAACTAATCTGTGTGTTCTGTCCTAAAAGATGACAATTTAGTTCTTTTGGTGCTTTTAAATGATGCAAAATAAAAAGATACAGAGATCAAGAATATAGATAAAGAGTAATTGCTGTATAAGATGCATTTTTATTTAGTATTGTCTATGGATTAGTTGTTTAGGTTACATACCTGTTAGGCAGATGATGGCTTCCAAAAGAAGTGCTTCCACCAGGGCCCACAAATAATCTTAAACCTTCTTCTAAAAAGCAAGTGAATTAAAATATGTTAGCTATATGTTGCCCTACCGAACACTACGTAATTTTGAATCTACTAGTTTTGTAGCTGATACTTTCAGATGCAAATATGTCAATTAATGAAGAACCAAACTTCACATGGTGTAGGCTGGAGAAACTACTTTTGTTGTAGATTTGCACCTGCTCTTTTTAGCCTTAAAGTAATTACCTGGGAAAGTTCCCTGAGCCATGTAAGGGTTTTTTAACTTTTGGGAGACAGGGTGAAGCAGAAAATATAGTGATACATGTGCACAGTCCTTATGATTACAAGCAACAGGGACTATGAAGAGAGTGGATTTTCCTGCGGCCTGTAATGTATATCAATTTTTTCTAAGCTTCCTTATTTATCTCCATACCTTCTGCACTTGAGTCTAAACTGAAGTCTTGACTCTGAAGTATTTTTTCAACTATATCATCAGCATCAACTCTGGTAGCATCAACCCTCTTAAGCTGTGACTCCACAGAGTCTTGCTTTACAGGATGTCTGCAAAAATAAATATATTTACAGCTCTTAGAAGTAATTTGTGCTTTACTTCTGCTAGATAAAGCCTTCAGGTTAAGTGTACCTGCATTGTTTTTCTGATGGTGCATCTTCAGGAGATGTATCAACATTAGCTTCAGTTACTTTTGGCTCAGGCTCTTCACATGGCTCTAGAATACTTCCAGTTCCTGTTGAGGTACTCCCCACTGAGGTACTCCCAACTGAGGTGTTCCTCCTGTGGCAGAGTTCAGACAGACTGGATGATCTAGAGTGACATGTGCTATATCCTGTTGGAAAAATACAGGAGAGTTGGGTTAGGAATGTTCTTGACAGCCAAGGTCCATCCTGAAAGCAGAATTTGTGTTTTGTCTTCTTATCAAGAGACTTCAAAAGCCCTATGAATATATGTGCATACATCAACTAGGCAATTCAGATTTTGAATTGTACCACATGCCATTTTCTTTTTGTTCTAAATAACTCTTACTTCATAACAAATATCATGGCAAATGTCATTCCCTTCAGCTTTTAGAGCTACATCTCTATTTGCAAGTTGTTTTTACACATGGAAGATGTGAAAATCTCATTCAGATATGATAGTTGAAGGGAACAAGGGCAAGAAGCTTTCTGGCATTGGAAGAGATCATTCAATGTGATTTTAAGAGGGGAAAAAGTGTTACCTGCAGCACACCTGAGGGTCCTAGGAAAAAGCTTTCAACTTCAAAACCTTTTTAAACATAAAGTATATTTATTGTCTACTGTATAAACCTGTGAAAGTAAATAATTCCCCAACAACTTGTAACAAAATTATTAACGGCTACCTGACAGTTTTGATTGCTGACTTGCATAGCTTGATGTTCTGGAATGTCCACATGCACCAAGTTCATCTGGGACAGAGGCACTCTTTGATGAGATATCTGCAACATATGCAAGTCAGATAGTGTTCCTAAAGCCAACTTTATTACTATTTTGCCTGTAATCTTGATTAGATTAAAAAATAAGATTTTCCAGAGGGATTAGAGATTTGACACTGGTTTTCTGCAGATCTTTTGGAGATTCAAGTGCTTAAAAAATACCGTGTATGTTAGTGAATATGCATTCCTTCAAAAAAAAAAATCATAATATGTATCTGAGTAAAACAGAGAACAACCAGAGTAAGAAAGATTTGAATGAAATGTAGTTCTAGATTTCTCTACAGTGTCAACATTAAAGAGGTGACCATGCTTTCTCTAGTATCATAGTAGAATGTTGTGCCAGATGTTTTCTGTCTGGGAAATTAACTGTGGTTAAGAGCTTCAGCTGTGTTTGGAGTAGAAATTAATAAGCCATGTAAGAAGGTTCCTTTGTGGGCCAACTGTCAGCATCCCTTTAAGATTTGAAGTATTCTGTACATCTCTTGAAGCTGTGAGGCCAGTTATTAAAGCACTGAGAAATTAAGAGCTTTATTATTTACCTGCTATTCCCAGATGTGCTACTTTTAAGTTTTCTCCACCTTTCCTGTCTTCATGCAAAGATTCTGATTCTCCAGCAATTGCTATAGATGTTGCTGTGGAAGGAGGCCTGTAAGAAAAAAAGTGGCTCAGATTTGCTGTACTTTTGTTGTAATCCCTCCAACTTGATTAACACATAGTTCTTCTTTCAAATAAGTTGGCATAATTCATACTGAGCATCAAGTTAACAGACCTACAATTCTAGTCCCCTGTTGAAGGAAAAAAAAAAAAAAGCTTTTTCTACTGAGCTTAAGGACATTTTACAGAATCCACCTGGTCAGCCCTCAGTCCCTCAGGCTTCTGGGGATCTTGGGAAGGGCTTTTCCTTTTTTCATGATTGGGGGAGTGATATGTCTTTATTTTGAAGTTCTTATTTTAAAGTATATGAATCACAGGATAGTTTACATGCTAAGAATATATGTAATTGAGTACTTCATGGAATACATGGAATACAAGATGATAAGTTAAAAAAACCCCAAATGTGCACAATGTGACAGTTGGCCAAGTTGCTTGTGTGCTGTGATGTTCTCCTGGCTTTGTTTCATCTGTCACAGTACAGGAGGAGATTCTGGGCTGGTAACCCTTCCACTCCTAACAAAGGGGCCTATGGCACCATCTCCATGTATTCCCCTCTAAATTTTACCTCCTACAAAATAAAAAAAGCATCACGTATGACATTTATTTAAATTTTGGTTCAATATTAAAAACCTTTTAATAAAGCTTAAATGTTTGTTTGAGCTAATACCAAGATCTAAAGGGGTATAAAACCTCTAAGTTTGTGTTTGGCTAGAGCAAAAGAAACTAATAGAAAATGACAAAGTGAAAGCAATCTTCTCCTGCAAGCAATACAATCAAAATACATTTCATACAAATGCCTACAAATACAAATACAAAATGCCTACATTTTTTTTACTGCTTTGTTATTTTCTACTTTGGGAACAGAATGTTGGTCTGCAAACAAATGGATATTTGTTGACATTTTTAGATCTGACATATTCAATAAATTAGTCACTGTCTTTGTGTACAGTAACATATCCCCTCTTATGTTATGTTTGAAAGTAAAGAGAGAAAGAAAAAAAGCACTACTGGAAATACAGTGCTTGTGTGATTTAACTGCCTAACATACTTCTGAAAGCAAGAGCTGAATGCTTTCAGGGATGCATCCCAGATCAAACATCAAGCCTTCTAGGCTTCTTCATAAAAAATGTATCTGATTCCAGATTGTGAATCTGTTTTAAGGTTTATTTTGCCTTCTACAAAGGACATCTGGATTAGATAAATTTTTTGTTCTGTTGTGTTGAAAGTTTATGTTCCAGGAAATGGTTATATCACCAGTTTGGCAGAAAATGCCAAGTTTGAATAACTTGAGTTAGAGGTTTTTTCCTAGGGAACCAGAAAGCTATTTAGATACTAATTTCAACTCCTTCAGTACTAGCCAGTAAAAAACCAGAAACACATCATTTTATTAGTATACAAGAGTAATGATTCGTTGCCTTTGAGAAATTGTTTATTGGTTCCAGTGATGTATTTGTTAATACGTCTGACTCTAAAGTAAATTTACTAGAGCTGCTCTAAAGTAAAAGAGGTGCTAAATAACCAGGGATACAGAAAAGTTTTGCCCAATCAAACAAATTCAGATAACACCCTCTTGCTATTTATTCAATAAGCACAAGATGAGACTCTGCAGTGTTCTCTTCGTGCAAGGGGACACTGAAGAGTTCCTATGGTGAATCACCTAAGTTAGACTGGCGCAAAACCATTGCAAAACTATTATGTTTCCCTAACTACAGATTAAGGACAATGAGGCTGAGGATCTTCAATATGTAGCAGTGTGTTTTCCTAGCTACCTCCTAGCTCAGATGTTACCTCCTGCAATTTTACTAGGTTGCATAACGTCTTTGCTAACTAAATATCTGTAAGTGCTTTCTCTTGTATTGAGTCATATCACACTTCTGTTGTGGTTTTTTTTTTCCCAAAGTAATCTTTTAAAATCATAAGAGACTTGTGAATAAAAGGTGTAACAGCACATTTTCCAAACACAAGTATTAGTCAGATCACTCTGTATGAAGTCCCTTTATATAAGGTTGCTGCAGGAACAGTTTCCCTTAAGTTTTTTTTTTTAGATTTTTTACAAACTTACGTTTTAAAGCATGGGTCTCCAGACATGAGCTGCATGTTGATCAAAACCTACATGTTAAGGAAACAAAACCCACTGTAAGAAAAAAAAATTGGTCTGTGACACATACATGGTCATGTCACTAAGTTATACTTGCCACAAATATTAAATTTAAGTAAAGTAAAATGCCATCATCGCATATGCAAACTGTCACACTTAAGCAAAAAGTTACATTTTTTTCCTTAGTAGGCATGCAAACAACACAAAATAGCATTTAAAGTAACATAGTTACATGTACAAGATTCTGAAAACGACACATAGATCAAGGAGAATCTTAAAATCATTAATAGTTAAGATGGCTTCAAGGGAAAAACAGAGACAGGAAATCTAAAACATTAATGAGCAACCAGAATATTGTTTTGAACAGCGTGTGTTGAAGTATGTTCTTTGCTGAGGGTGTTTAGCAAACTGCTGCCTTAGAGGAATGGGTTGTGCTGACATCAGACCCAGCAAAAGCACACCAGGTAAATAAGCCATAGGACACAGTGCATTGAGAAGGCTTGTTAACCAGGTCAAAGCCATCAATTACAACTGTTCTGGACACAGCCTATGACCATCAAAGAAATCAGAAAGTGCATGCATACTGAATAATATGGGAAAAACTTAGCCTAGTGTCTCAGTAGGAAAATTAATTTTTTTTTAATTACTTGAAACATTGTCTAAGGAATTATTTTCATGTTTATGGAGCTTACTCAATTTTTTTAACTCTGTGGACTAATGGAATGAATGGCAGAGGAGGTTTCTTGCAACAATCCTCACCAACTGTTACATCAATTACTATTAAGTAGAAAATGGGAAAGCCCCAGGAGTCATGGAGGTGTTGAAGATGGCTTATGCATAAATAAGCCAATTAACAGATTCACTCTCAGAAGGATGCACAGGAAGTTGCCCAGTCTTAAAGATATAATGTATTAACTTGTTCATTTTTCAGCTACCATTAGAATACCTTTTGAAAGCTTTTCTTTTACAGCTATCCAGCTCCATTTCAAAGAGCAGGGTAAGTTCTGTTTTTGACTGCATGGATTTTAAAGATCATCTCTAAACAACGCTTTTGTTTTTACTTTAAATAGCACTCCTTCTAGAAGGAGGTTCAGCAAATAAGTTTTAAATTTCATTAAGTGCTTAGTAGTACCACTTGTTCTCTGCTTTATTACTTTAAGTATGATAAAAGAAACAAATTACTTTGAGAATGGAGTTGTCTTGTCTTGTATTTTTGGTATCATAACCTTCCAGTAAACAGCGACGAGTGGTAATTCCCGATCCAGCAAACTCTGCTAGATTTAGATCTGCAAATCCCAGCTGTTAAGAGAAAAGGACAAAGTTACTGGTAAGCATATGACTAAATGAAGGTACTTGCAGCATCCCACACTGAATAACACTCAACAGCAGTTTCTCTGCTGCCAAGCAGAGAGGATGCCAATTAAAGGGAGTGGCCCCAGGCAAAAAGCAGAAAACTAACTTCGAGTGTCAAATTCAGCATAGTTCTGATTTCAGTTAAAAAGTTAAAAGTGCCAAAAGAGAAGGATAATGAGGAGAGTTTTCTTTATTTTTTAATGTAAACACCTGCTATTTTTAATCCTTTCCACATATCAAATTGAAAGAAAAAAATTGGTGGTATAATATTGTTATATACTTATTAAGTGCACTGATAGAGAGTTCCAACAGCACTGTGTCACTATAATGCACATAATGAAATCATGGGTATTAGAGCACTATTCTGGAATTACTTTAAAAGGGCATAAAATGACAAGAAAGAAAAGCTTATCTGTAGGCAAAATTACCTACATCTCAATTTACCTTTGCATATGCCTTTCCTCCTTTTAATTCCTAGGAAAAAAAAAAGGAAAAAAAACACTATTAAGCCATTAAAGATACTGACTCATGATTTTCCTTTGTTTTGTTTGGTTGTTTTTTTTAAAAAAGCAGATACTAATCTTTGTTTTAAAATACCTCACCACACGTGCTAGACTGTCCTGTTGTCATTTAGAACTTAGTATTCATAATGCCTTTGGTGCAGGCCAGCAGGAGACTGTCACCCTGGAGAGGGGGAAGAGCGATTGCCTGATGCCTTTTGGCATTTGGCTCTTGCAAGGTCTGGTCCCAAAGGTAAGACGTGCTGTGTACAAAATTCTGGTACTTAGCAAAGTTCAAGGCCTCTAAGCTTACTGCTGCTTGCTGGAAGTACCAATCTTTATAAAGTTTGATAACTTTATAAACACTGATGAGGGATTCCTTTGGTGCCCTGCTGGAAAAAAGTGTTCTTTTCAAAAAGAACATAAAACACCCATGAATTAGTCAAAGTAAGGTAATTAATAACATTACCACAAAATTTTGACAAAAGGAATACCCGACATGGTTGCAGCTAAAATTTGCCCTATGAAGTTTATCAGACATTCCAAAATTAAAACAAGTGAAGGAAGGAGCAAGGAAAGAGGAGAGGAGGGGAAAAGAGCTATTTACCTTCCGTACAGACACCCTGCAAGTGCAAGTATCCAGAATCCCTGTTGTGGCACTGGCACTGATTTTACACATAAATAAGAACTTTTTCTTCCAGCGGACACAGTTTGCCTGCACTACCTCCCTGCAAATAGAGAGCATACACTTAGTATTAGTGGCATATACATTCAGAACCATAAACTGCAGTAGGACAGCTCAAGAACAAACACTGTTTCCACTGTTTGTAGAATGGTCACTTCATGCAAATTGTGTTCCAAAGCCTGAATAATAATAATTCTCCATTCTTCTCTTTGACCAGTAGCTGTTTCAAACCTTGAACACAATATAAGACCTCCAGAAAAATTAAACAGCCATGTGTTTTTGCAAATGAATGAGACCATTATTTCTCCAGTTTGCCTCGGGAGACTGAAGTTTTCCTGAACATTAGCTCTCAGGCACTGTCTTCCAAGTCAGTGAGCTTTGCACTGTGCTCAAGATACCGTTTTTGACAAGTAGTTTTTTAATACAGAGAAAGGGAGCATCATACAAGCAGAACTAGTTACATTTGAGACTTGGAAAAGCAGAAAGGACATGATGTGGAATAACCAGACACAACGTAATGAACTTGGGGCAAACCAGAATTTCAGCTACATATGCAGATTGCCATTTGATGACATATCTGAACGGATTTGTTCCTCACAGGAGGATAGCAGTCTGCCAGTATGATGCAGCTGAGAAAAAGGCAAAAATGTAGAATGCTTTCAGCTATATTAATGTCATTTTGTAAGGTTCAGACAGAACACATTATTCTGTTGGGCCAACTAAGCAAGAATAGACTCCAAAATGAACAGGTACAGGAAAACTCTGGTATCTTATAAGAAAAAATGGCAAATAATAAAAATACCCTGGTGTTTCAAACACTTGAGAGACCAAATAACTTTAAGTCAAATGAAAAGTGGTTAGGACTAAAATAAAGTTTAATCAAACACCCACTTAAAGTTAAAAGGTCTCAAATCACAGAGCAAGTTTCAGCCTTCAAATAAGAGAAGAAGCAGCAAAAAAATCTTATTGTATTTTACAACAAGTTTGGCCAGTTTGTCAATAATGGGATGTAAGGACTGTGATTCTGAGGGACCTGCCTCAGTGATCAACAGCTCCTTTCTAGCCCCATGTTTCTAAACTCAAAACTTCTAACTGTGAAGAAACTGAGATAATTTCTTCTACCACTCTAATCATTCAAGTACAGTCTTCACATACTCAAGTGATATTTGTCCTTTTTTCTCTTTAGTTTTTCTAATGCATACATTCCTGTGTTTTATATTAACTTCTTGCAGTAGCTTATTATTGAAGATCCGGCTTGATGTCTTCAAGAGATAGAATTCTCTGGGTTTGCATAAGTTGGAGTCAGAGTTCATCACACCTATGGAAAAGTGAAGAATTGCAGGGCACTCACGAAAGCTCCCTTTGCTCTGCTGCTGAGACAGCCAGCTACAGTGCTCACTGGCACTATGACTTCCTAGGGTAGGAATAAACCAGCCTGCCTAAAATGAGTCAGTTTAACGACCACAACAGACCAACAGATTTTGATGATGCGACACTGAGTCACATTCAGGCATGTGACCTAAAAGGAACATGCTCCCTACACCCACTACCATTTATCTGGTGTGTTTTACATCGCAAACTTTTCTGTACTTTCCTGTACAATCCAAAACCAAACCCAACCAACTGCCCCCACTCCCACTGAACATTCTTCTAATTCCATTCTATAAAAGAACATTTTGACATTTTTTAATTAAGGTAAATTTTTAGTAAAGAAGAGTATCAGCTAGCTATTCCCATCATGCTGGAAGAAAAAAAGAAAAGAAAGGTCAAATAATCAGAGCATTTAACTTAAACAGTAACATCTAAGTTTATAAGATTCTTAGTTGAAGTGCAAGGCCTTTAGAAAATAAACAGCTGTATTGATTGGTTACTATGGAAACAAACCCAGATAACTTCTTGGCAACTGTGCTACAGGCACACTGGGAAAGCTTTGCTGGGGAAAGCTTTCCGTTCTGAGTCAGCTTCCTATGAGCCTCCAGTCACTTTACCACATGCAAAGCAAAACCAGTTGTTTTCTTAATCAAAAACGTATCTTAGTTACTAAGATTCATTCAGATATGTACTGGATTGTAGTGCTTTGTTGTGATGTAATGAATGCTGTCAGTAATATGTAACCAAGAATAAATTCAATTAACAGATATTGTAAGAAAAAGTGATTCCAAAGCATAGTTTATCATCAGTTTAACAAATTATTTTTTCTTTAGAGGGACAGTTCCACATTGGCTAAATTTCAAATGCTGTAAACAAGGAGAAAATATGTCATGTTGATAAGATGGCCTGAGAGAAGTGCGGCTGCTGCAGCTCTGCTCTCCAGATCCCACGAGCAGCAAGGCTGAAGATGTATTCCTGGTAAGCACCCACAGCCAGCACACACACACAGGTCACAGGCACACAGAGCACAGGCAGCCAGCCCACTCCCCTCTCCGGCTGAGCACCACAGAACTCTGCTAGAGATACATATATCATATATATGTGTGGAGATAGATATATATAGATATATATGGCTCCCAGGCTACAGCACCTGCTCCACAGCTACTCCAGCTCGATCCCTGATGGCATTTGCATACTCACACACCTGCATTCGCTCCACAGGCACACGGGTCTCTGACTCCTAGTCCCACCTCCGTAGGTTGCATTGGCTTTAACTCATCTCTACTTTCCAGTTCCTGGCCCTCAAGTGCTCTGTCCCATGATCCCAGGCCAGCTGCTGGCACAGAGGACACACAGGTCCTGTGACCTACAGTCCCACTCCCATGGCTGGTACTTCAGTCTGCTCACTCAGGTCTCCTGTTTCTGGCACCACAGACACCCAGGCCCTGTGTCACCAAACCGTGACTCCAGTTGCTGGTACTCAGGCTCCCACGCTCCCATACACATTGAACAGAGAGCCTTTCTCCCAGGAAGGAGTTAGAATGTAGTTCGGTATGAAAATGCAATAGACATTACTGATTAGAAACAGATTAGTCAAATGTACCAACCAGCAAACTATTTACATCTAACTGGCCCTTTTATCCCCTTAACTCCCTGTTTTTCCCACACTTGTTCCTCATCAAATCACTTAAACTCATCCCTTGCTCCACTTTTAGTTCCTCCCCCAAATATCCCATAATAAGCCTCTTCCCCTGTATCCCATGATGCGTCTCATATGCAGCAACTCCCCTCAGTCCAAAAATTGCTTCAGTGTTAGTTTGACATGATGGGTTTCCTGCCTGGACAATGGGGCTGAGGCTCTCCTGGGACAGCCCTAGGAGGGGCCTGGACAGGGTGTCCTTTTGTCTAAGCCCATAATTTCAGTTCCCCACCTGCCTCTGTGTCCCCGGGCTTGTGCAGATGGGCCTTTGATGGGCTGATGGCTCCTGTGACAGGACTGGAAATTCCGTGTTTCTTCTATTCAGGAAGAAATACAGTTTACTTTTCCTTTAATACTCTGTGTTTCCCCCATGCCTGAAGCATATAAGAACATAGATTTTCTCCAACAAAAAACATTTTTTCCTAAGCATTGCTAAAAACTTGAACAAAACCAGTCATTTACAAACAGAGCTTCAATGTTTCACAAATTTCAGCAGTAAGCAAACAGCTGCTCTGCAGGAAGAGCTCCACTTGTTTACAGTGCACAGCTCCCCAGTTAATTTGCTGTTAGTACATGCAAAACTCAAACAGAGCAATCATTTTCTATGCCACATGTTTTTACTCATAATAAACAAGTTACAACTTTAGCAACACTTCATGTCAAGAATTCCTTATAAAATATATATAAAGTCTTCATCACATGGATGAAAAACTGCTGGTTACAGGCAAATGCAGAGACCTAGAAGGGAATTAGAACTGTGAAGGGCAAACTGCATTAGCAAGACTGTAGTCAGCAAGTCAAAGGAAGAGATTGTTCCCCTCTGTTGAACATTTGTGAGACTGTATCTGCCGCACCAGGCCTGGTTTAGGGGCATTCTCGGCAGAAGACAGACACTAACAAACTGAAGCAAGTCCAGGGGTGTGAGATGATAGTCTGGAGTCAGGGATGAGGGGGATGAAGGACCTGATGCAGGAGAATTTGGGAACATGGGATTTTTACAATCTGAAGATGAGGTGAAGGAAGATCTAATTGCCATCTTCAGCCTTCTCTGCTGAGTTAGAGAGAAGATGGAGCCAGATGTTTCTTAGTGGGGAGCAGAGAAGAGGCAATAACCAGAGAAATTCCAATAAAATGAGGGGAAAACCATTCACAATAAAAGTGGTGAAGCAGAAGGACAGGTTCTCTACAAAAACTGTAATTTCCATTCTTACAGATTTTCTAAAGCTGACAGGACAAAGCTCTGAGCTTCCTGATCGAACTGAAGTGAGTCTTACTTTGATCAGGCAGTTGGACTACATGATCTCTAGCAGTCCCCTTTGCCCTAAACTATTCCATGAACAGAAACAGTCCTTAAAATATGAAGGCAATCAGGCGCTCTAGTGCTTGTAAATGGCAATACCATGCTCCACGTACTGTGCTGGGGTCAGGTTCAAAAAACAAACCAACAAACCCTCACCAGCTCTTTTAAACCAGGGTGCCTATTCTGCACAAGCCAGGCACCTTAACCATGAAAGCTTTTCCCACCACCCCTCCCTGTTTAACAGATGCCTGTCGTGCACGTCTTATCAGGAACTTTTTTGTGACAAGTTAGCTGCTGTTGTATCTCTTACCAGTACTTACAGTTACAGTAACACAAGTCTCACAAGACTAAGCCCTTTTTATATCTGCAATAACCAGTTATGCCCCATGCAAAATGCAAACTGTAAAAACATTTTTCCCTCCTACAGCAGCCCAAAGATGACCCTCTTCTGACCTAATTTTAAATTTTTCACTCCTTTGATTAATTCTTTCATCTTTCTCAAGCATATTCTCCAAATCAGTTGACTAAACACATTTTATGGTAGCTATTACTGAAAGGCTGAAGAGGCACAAAGAAATTACATTCTGGAAAAAAAAAAGTTAAGTTTGTGTAGAGAACTTCCCCTTCTTACCTTTTCCTCTTCACAGAGGACAGGGTCTGGAAGCTGTTTAATCAAGTGTCTCCTCACAACTGAAAAAACATTAAGTGGACATTCGACAATCTGAAAAGAGCACCTACAAAATTGCAAGGCAGGATTTTTATCCCACTGCCAATATTCCTTACAGTGCTTTAAAACTTATTTTGTTTCAGGTTATCCAACTGCAAATCCAGTTACAGCAGAAAAAACTATCAGAAGGAGCATTATCCAGCTCTGAAGACTGTCAGCAGAATTTATACATCATGCAGGAAGATTAGAGTGATAGGGGCAGTGATTCCACATGACAGGTATGTTTTTCTAACAAGTGTTATTATTTAAAAACAGAGAACTGGTTAACCTATGTTACTATCAGGAGATAATTTCCCTTTCAAATGCAATAGCAGCAGTTGGGAAAAGCATGGTTAAAAGGCAATTTGAAGAGCCCAGTGAGGCAGAAAATGTACTTCCTGGTGTCACAAAAAATAGATGTAGTTTTAGACAGTCGAGAAGGAGGTGGCCAAGCATCACTAGAACTAAGAAGTACTTATTATCTGGAAGATAAGAAATCAATTTCTACAGAAGACATTTATATGCTCTAGCCTGTATCTATGAGGAATAAGAATATATTAATGGAAGTAATGCAAGATCTGAGACTTCCTCTCAGGATTCAAGAATGTGGTGTACATAAAAAAAGACCCCACATCCCTGGAATCTGTTGGAAAATAAAATGTTTTCATGAAAAACTTATAGTTCTTGACCACCCTGAATCTGTCTGTCACAGATACCAATCATAATCAGCTTCTTAGTTTAGAATGTTGCTGTGTAAAAGAATGAAGAGAGAAACATCAGCAGTCTAAATTGTCAGAGATCAGACCTGAAAGGCAGGGGAATACGACCAAATTGAAGACTGCAGTCAGAAGAACACACCAACCAACAAGTCTTTCCTTGAGTGGGGTGCAGCTGGAAACCAAGCTAAAAATGGAACTACCAGGCTTACAGCTCCTGTAACCTAGATCTATACAGTACAGTGTTGAAAGTACACCCTCAAGAAATAAGATCCTTTACTTCCCAAAATTTCTTTGATTTCCACATATCCCATCTGTTCATTTGCTGCTGATTGAGCAACAGCTCAGCCTATGAGCAGTTACCTACTCTAGGGGCCCATCAATTATTTCTTCAGCCGGTTAAAATGAGGGCAGTTGCAGAAAGCCTACTTGTTATATATTTATGTCTACAGTAAAATGGCCATGAATAAATATGGTTAGTATTTGGTCTATTTTAAAGTACCTTAAAATAGTATTTTTTCCTGTTCAAAATATTCATAGGTGTAACTTCTTCCCTGAAATAATCTTCCATCCTTTCATGGTGCATTAGACATTATGTGCATGATATTTTATGACCAGGCAGTGTATAGACACACAGAATCCTGGAATCTGCACAAGTGTCTGGTATTAATGTATCCAATTTCAAAGAGAGATCTCGTGTCATTGGCCCTGGGAAAGACAGAAACTTAGAAAGATGTCTCATTACACAGGAAACCAGGCTTAAGCAAGGAAAGTTTGCTAAATGAAAATGTTAGCATAACTTTGCCATCTACTTGCTGAAAATCCACCCTTGGTTATAAAATCTAAAAATACAATGGTAAAGATCCAGAAGTCAGGTTAGAAAGCAGTTTCAAAAAGGGGAGGGCAGGAATTGCTAAAACAACCAAACCAAACCTCCCCGCTCCCACAGCTCCTTTTAAGATTTTCCCTGTTTTAGAGTCAAAGCTTATAACCTGTTCATTCTCCCCAGAATTCTGGGGTCCTGCTCTTGCTGAAACTCTCAAAAATTTCTCCTAGTTTAAACACTGCTGCTACTTGTCTGTTCAATGTCCTTGGATCAAAATTGTATTTGGCACTACCAGATTACTTTAAAAGTTGAATATTTTGTCAGGGTAATTAAGCATTTAGCATTATAATACAGAATTTTCTTTTCCTACAGAAAATACTCACAAATATGCATAGGGATGTTTCAAATAGAAGTTCTCAAATTGGAGTTCTAAAAAACTACAGGCAAACACCAAAACACAAAGTGTTGTGGTTGCTATTTATACACAAACCAGATCACTATGTACTGCACTATACAAGCTGGTTTTACCTGGTCACAGAATTTCTATACACTTCAGGCACACATCTGTATGCGCCAGGAAATTAACTGGACTGTGACAACAAGTCCCCAATAACACAGACCATGTCTCCATAACATATTTCTTAGCAAAGATCTGACAAGTGAAAAAAACCCTATGTTTCAGTTGCTTGAATTTTTTCTGTCTTCTTTTCATCTCACTTCAGCGATGAGAGGGATGATGTAGGTATCACATTGCTTGCAGGATCAGGGCTTTAATCATTCATACACCACGATCCATGCAGGAATGACGAGATCCATTTTCATTACAAGTTGCTACATATGGGCCTTTATTCCAAGGCAACCACTGACCTGTGTTTTTATGACATTTCTTTCTCAGTGAGTAAGCTTTGGAAGGAAATTGCTAGTAATATTAGGGTGGTTTATAGACTATTAATATGACCTTTTTTGCCCCCCCCTTTTTTTTAAGGCAAGAGGCAGAAAGGCATTGGTGTGTATGGATACCAAATTGAGAACTTAATAACTAGAGTACTAGACCTCAGTAACAAAAATAAAAGCTATGAAGAAAACAGTTTTCCCCTGTATTATAAAATTTTTGAAATGAATTTGCAGATTACTTTCTGAAACAACAAAATTCTTCAAACTTCTTTCATAAGGCTAAAAACATTACTACTTTAGGAATATAACTGCCAGCTCACAGTGAAACTAATAAAAGCATGGCCACTACGAAAAGTTTGCAACTGACAAGTTTTGAAATCCTGCCTCTCTGATGTTAACTTAATTTCTTCCTTATTTATTCAGCCCTTTGCTGAATCACCACTGTGAAAATTCATGTGTTAATTCTTAAGCCAAGAGTAAAGGCACTCCCTATGTTGGCGCTGAAGGATCACTGCACAAGAATTCTTTACCCTCCTACCAGCATACCTCAACACTTCTCAGCCCAGCAGGAATGAGTTAAACTCACAGGGACCTTGTTATACTAGCATATGTTCCATTGCTGTTATTTTTTAAGCCATATCCTCAGAAAAAGAAAATGGAAGAATTTCTAAACTTTGACTCTAACACAATACATCCAATACATACAATTTTTTACATCATCACAGTTCCACTGACACTTTCTACTACACATACTACCTCCTAGCACACATATTTTACTCAAATAGACTATTCAGAAAGATATGCATGTAGGCTTTCAAGCTTTTAATTTTAACATCATAAACAGGCTTAGTCTAAAAAGACTAAGATCACAATAATGTATCAAAACCATCTGCTTAACTGAAACCAACTCCCTGAAAATAGAGATCCTGTCCAGAAGATTTATGTCAGCCTGTGAAATGACTTCAAGACAGTATGGGCTAGAGTAGGACAATAATGGCACATTAGTGCCTGAAATTATTATTGCCATCATCATCTATTACTCATGAAGAAGTCACTCACAAGAAAAATGTTAAGGACACACAAAATGAGAACAGAACACTGTTGAGTTGAACACCCTCCAACCACACAGAAGAAAAATTAATCTTCAATTATACATGGAATGGTTAAATAAGGAAGTTCTAGGCCAAAGTTCCGTTTTGATGCTTCATTCTCCTTGATTAATTTTATTTACAGAATAAAAGGCAGATAATTTAGAAAGCTCTGTAACAGCAGTATTTTAATAAGAAAATAACTGAATATTCACCGACTTCTTACTGTCTGCTCTCAGAATTCTATGAGACATTTTCCAGTAAATCTTTTTCATAATAATGTTAAAGTAATATAATAACCCATACAACATGAACAAGTGTAATGGGAAGGGAGTCTCCTCCTCCCCAGACCTGAAGCCACAGCACACCCTTCCTATTGACAAGGTTCTGCCTCTGCCTGGTACCTGGAAAAAATTAACACACTGTCATTCTATTTACCCGTCTCTACCCATGGACTGGGGAACACTGACACGGCCGATGATGGCTCTGTTGCTGAGACACAACAGAAGGAAAAGAAAGAGAAAAAAGACATCTGCCTTGCTGCATTTGCACTGCAGAACTGAGCGTGAACCAAGTCAGTAACACACATGGTCTGAACACTTCCAGGAATAATTGAGGACTTTTTCATGGAACTTTGCTCTCCAGCTAAATATCCACAGAACGAAACACAGCAAGCCACTGTCCAACAGAATGAAACACTAAGTTTGCCCAACTCACAGTCACAGTGGGCAACTCAGACTACAGACTTGGGAATAAGAAATTTCCTCCCCTCCCGTTACCCATCTGATCAGCAGGCGTTACAGCTCCAGGCATTATGGCACAAGCGACCTGTTTCTCTGGGACAACCCTCATCCCTGAGGGATTCATGTCCCCTGTTACTCCGTGTTTAAGAGCCTCAATGTTTATTTTACAACGTTACGACTTCAGGCAGCGAGCAGCCGCGCAGACGAGGAGTCTGCAAGTGCTCCCACATCTGTTCTCCCGCCGTCGGTGCTGGCAAAGCAGGCGGGACGAGAGGACAGCCAGTCTGCCCGGTGCCACGCCGTGCCACGGGAGCTTCCCCTTCGCCGAGAGGAAAGGCGAGCAGCCTCCAAAAGCCCCGGGGCAGCCGCCCCCTCCTTTCCCTGGGCTCCCGCCCGCCGGGCAACGGGAACCGGCTGAGCCCCAGGCTCGCCCCGAGCCGATGAGCGGCCAAGGGGCTGCGGAGGCGGCCGGACCGCCCCGGCTCTCGGGGGGACGGGGACTGGAGCGGAGCCCGTGGGACAGGGGCGGGGACCCCGCAGCCCCCCGGCTTGCGAGCCCCGGAGGCACCTACCGGGAGGACTCCCCGCTGAAGCTGCCCCCGTCCAGCAGCCGCACCTTGCAGAAGAGGATGCCGTTGACGAAAGGCACGGAGGAAAGCTCGTCCAGCTCCAGCTCCACGCGGAACTTGAACTTCTTCTTTTTCATCATGATGAAGGCCATGGGCCAGGGGCCGCCCGCGGGCCGCCCCCACGGCAGCTCCGCTCCGCGCCGGCCGCCCCGCTCCGCTCCCATGCCCGGGGCGAGGGCGGCACCCGGGCCGGGCCGGAGCTCCGGCCGCTCCCAGCTCAGCCCCGCCGGCCGCGGCGCTCCCGGACAGCGCTTACATGGCAGCCGGCGCCTCCCTTTCAAACCCGCCCGCCTCCGCTCCGCCCGCTGCCGCTAGCGCCCGCAGGACCCATTGGCGAGCGCGGCCGCCAAAGGCTCCAACGCGGGCGTGGGGTTTCCCGAAGAAGCTGGCCCGGGCCGGGGAAAGGCTTTTAAAAGCGGAGGTGTCCGGATCAGTGACGTGGCCGCGGCCCCGGCCCCTGGCGAGCGGAGCTGCTCCCGCCCTCCCCGGCAGCTCTCCCGCCTTCGGAGACCCCGCTGAGGTGGTGGGCGCGTCCCGTCGGCGGAAACCTCCTGTGCTGCTTACTTCAGAGCACTAAGAAAACAAAGCATCATCTAGACCTCGGACTTTCAACTCTGAATTTAGGTACCTTCTACTGCAGTTCAAACCTTATCGGGGTCTTGTACCGTTCAACCTGTAATTTACAAATAACGCCGCTTCTGACACGAGCAACAGATGCTCATAGTCTGGTAGAAAAGGAGGGTGTGCTCATCGATGTTTACATTTAAGAACAGTCGTCTGGCATAGGCGATTACAGCAGTACACACGAGACGCTCTTGTTTAATGTACAGTTCAACACCAGCATACGCTCTCCAGAGAACAGCTTTGTCTCAAAAACCCATTCCAGAGGATTTAAGCATAAAGCAAGCTCCGAGCACCCTCCATCAGCAGATCAGTTTCCTCTTTACAGTGTTGCGTAAGAAAACTAACGCACAACAGTCTTCCCACAAGTAAGCATTTATTCACATGGTAAGAAAAAGAATCTGTGAGATTATGCACGGAGTATGATGCTGAGCCCCTGAAATCTTGCAGCTGGTGAAAGCAGGCTGCCCGTTGTTCAGTATAAACACATAGAAATACATTTTTCATGGAATACATACCTGATGAATAGAGGTATCACAAACGATGTGTGGCTAAGTATACCAAAATGTCCACAACTGTCCTGTAGAATAATGCTGGGGGAAAAAAAGGTGCCTGGAAAGAAATGTTCTTGGGTTTTTTTGTCCTACAACATGCAGAAAAAGAATTTATATACAGTTTTCTAGTAAGAAGAGCTACGTGGGTAGTTCTGACTCCATTGTCAGTTTTACATTCCTAACGAAGAATTCCCTACAAAACTCCTAGTGTCAAGTAATAACTCTGAAAGAAGTCTTTTAATTGGAGTAGAATTAATAAGACATCTTAGAGAGGAGATCTAGGCATTTGGCCTTGACCTAGGACTTCCCCATTGAGAACATTTCTTTAGTCTGCCCTAAAGTAATCCTGAAAAATCTTTTCTCCTTAACAGACCACAAGAGCCTACAATATATCATACAAGGCAACTCTCTGAGTACTTCACTCATCAGCTCTCTGTTCAAAGAGATGGAAAGTGAAAAGCTTTCAGCACCTAAAGGGACTAAGTATTCAGCTGATATCAAATCATACTAAGATCCTCCTTTCTTTAAAGGCTAAAGAACAACTCCAGAGTTTTGTTAAAAACACAGGGTTCTGGTTGAGAAAAGCAATTACCCTATTTAACTGGAAGGTCTGGCATATAAAGATGTAGGAAGAAAAATAGGGTTACAGGCCAGATAAATTATCTGTTGAAGTTCAATAAATACAGTTCATCCAGTTATTGAACAAGCCCTTAAAGAAAATCTGAATTAATTCACTCCTAGTCAGAGAAGAAATAAATCAGCAACCCTCATAAGTTATTATAGCTTATGTGTTCTGAGTAGCATCCCCTGCAAGCATCTCCTCTATATAACTGAATGCTTCAGGAAGCTATTAAACTCTATGTGCTACCTGCAAAAACCTGAACAAGCCTCACCTGAGTCCTCACCCACACCCTGCTCAGGGGACTCATTTAAGCTCAGCCCTGAGCCATGAGTCCTTATTTAAACCTTGTAGCTTTGTCTGTCTGCTGGGTGGTGGTTGTGCTGTGTGTACTTTGTTGTGGACCCTGACCTGCCGGCTGACTTCCTAACTCATCTCAGAGCTGTCTCTTTTTATTGTAGGTGTGCCTGAATGTGGTTGCTGTTGCTAGACTGGACCCTGAGGTGTGTTCCCAGCCTCAGGCCTGCCTTGCTGTAGTAGATGCCTCCTCTCCCTGCTTAGGGGACCATGGGGTGGGCTCTGGCTGGGGAGGCCCTGCCTTGCTGTCTGGGTTCTTGCACTCATCCTCCTGCTCTTGGGGAGAGAGCTGGCCCTTGCTGTGCCCTGCCAGCCTGTGGTGCTGACTGCTAAAATAAAGGCAAGGGTAGGTGCCAAATGGCTTTAGGGGGTTTGAGTCAAAGACAATCCTTGTCTGAAAAAGCCCAATTCTATTCTGGGGCTATATTTACATTCTGCACTGGAGTCTAGAAAAAACCTTTGTATTGAGTATAGCCTTCTTGTCCAAAAGAGTCAAAGTCAAAAGTGTCAGAGTATAGATTTTTAAATATATTTAGATTCTTTAATCAAAAGATTTTCAGAATAGCAGAGGAGTTTTTCAAAAAAGGATGAACACTGTGGGTAATGTACTAATTCTGTGTTGTCATTGATAAAAAACTTCTGTGAGATTAAAGCACTGGAATTTTTTTTTAGGAGAAATTCTTAAATCTTTAAGGAAGTTGGATGTTATAGGTATAAAACTCAATGATTCAAGAAAAATCAGTGGTTTACAAAATGCCACAGTTACACCAGAATAACACAAATAATTCAAAAGCTGTTTGCTTTCCTGAAGAATATAAGATTTCACTTACAAAACTGCAGGGTTAAATAGGGAACAGCCTTTGTGGACAGGTGAAGCTCAGCTCTCTGGGATTTTTAAATCCTACAGAGCATCAGTGTCTCTATCATTGTTGGAGGTGGTACTAATGCCATCTGTGTTCATCCCCTTGGCCTGTATGTTTTCTGCAGCACCATTTTCCTGCTGGGGACTTAATTTCTGACCTGTAGCTCTTTTTCCTGAGAGTAGTGGCATCAGGAAAGCATTGAAATGCTTTCTAGGTTTGACTTTAGATGGATCACTGGTCTGGCTCTGACATAAGGTCTGGGCTACAACCTGTACTCAGATCAGTGCTTTGAGCAGCAGTCCATTGTAAGCACTTTGTCTTGGCCATGGAAGAGATTAATATGGATGTCTGAAGTGAAATTTAACCAAAAAGTGATGTCCGTTGGAACTAAATGCAGTGTGTGTAGGTAAAGTCTACAATCATGACACTTCTCTTGCTGCTCTAAGAAATGTGTAATGAAGTCTCAGTTGTCCAAGTATGTTTGTACATGTTTACTACAGACCCACAGAGCAGTCTCTCCAATTAGCCTCTGAAGGATCGCTGCTTTAATGTGGCCTGGCTATTTAAAGCTGTGCTGTAAACAAAGCTCAGGTAACAGCCCCAATCCTGAGGGGTCTGTGCCCTCCAAAAGGGTGATGTGTCACAGAAGAAGTCAGAACCCAGCTGAACCTCCACTGATGATTTTAAATCATGATTTCTTAATTGGTGAATTATATTTAGATGAATTACAGAACCAATCTTTGAGTTAAGACATAACTTCTTTATGCTAAACCAGTCCAATGTTTTGTGCTAGACAACTCCCAGTAAAGAAAAATATGAAAATAATAAAATAATCTGAATTTGCTATAGCTTGTTACTATATGATAGTAAGATTCCAAAATATGCTTGTTTTGAAGAATTATTTTATAATAATAGTTTAAAACTGAGCTAATTATATCTGTATAATAAAGCAAGTATTCATTTCACCCTAAACAAATTTAAAACACTGAACTTTGTCTTTTAAGTATTTATTACCTCTGTGTTTGTTAATTATATCTCCCATGTGTGACCTGAAGGCTGCTCTATCAGGTGACATAAAACTTCTGGATGACCATTTTTTTAACTGTGTAGCAGAAATGGATTTGATCTCATCATTTAAAAATTACTCCCCTGCAGTCCTTGGAGTTAAGCCAGAAATGACTTCTGGCTCATGCAGTATAAGGTTTTCAAAATTTTAAGATTATTATGAACAGTTTCCTTACATAAAAAGAGCTACAGTATATAGAGCAGACACCAAATGATGCAATTCAGCTGACTTACCTTTTAGTCTATTAAAAAAATATATCAAGTCTGCTTCTAGCCTCTGAGGTTTTGTGATATTTATAGCACTTCATCTAAGTGAATAGTATTGATGTAATTTAAATATTTATTGCACATGTATGGATATAACACTAATTAAAAGCTTTTGTTCTAGAAAGTTAAATGCATATATTTTTCTGATGCTTTTGATGGTCTGATACTAATCAGTGTTAAGATAAAAAAGCCTTATAGCACTAAAACCAATATAAATGTTACAGAATTTTAAAGAAAGCATCTTGGGCAAAGATATTTCTTGACTTGGATGTCCTTTGCAGCTCTATAGTTCCTTCAAGCAAGGTAAAAATCAGGAGTGCAAAATGATGATCTATTCAAGACTCCTTTTTAACAAATAGGGACTCTGTAATGATACATCCCCCATACCTGCCACAGAAGACCATTTGTAAAAGAAATTATAGTTATGGTAGTGCCTGCTTCCAAGTAATCCACAAGACTCATTTTCTGGTTGATGTAAATTAGGCAAATCTCTGGATTTGTGATCACTGTCTCAGATGTCACTGCAGGAGGTTAATTAGACCTAACTAGTGTCTGTATCTTTCAAAGAGCAATGGCTTTCTCAGATGTGTACCTGATAGTTTATCTACTAACATGTGCAAAATACCTGAGACTCTCACCTATTTGTCTTATTGCTCTCAGCCAGTCATACTAAAGTCAAAGCATTTAAACCTCCTGCACAGCTCTGTGCTACTTACTCCATTTTCAGGGAGACCAGTGCAAATATGAAAAATTAATTTCACGGTTGCGTCACATCATGGATAAACAGTTGGGCCAATGATATACAGCCGGTTCTTCCAACT